CTTCTTACAGCTGAGGAACAGCATTGCCAAAGGACATCAGGCGCTTTACCAAAAAGCAGAGAGACAGTGCCTTCAGTGCAGCCTTCCTTTCATTGCCCAGCAGCCACTGTGCTGCCCGTGTCACAGAGCATTATCTACCAGAATTGCAGCACCTGCAGGTGCACTTCACTGCTTTTGGTGTGCATGTGTGTATTCCCTTAGATTTGCTCCAGTAACTGAGTCAGTAAAACGTCCTCTGAGAATCCTTCAAATGCCAATAAGCAGAACAAAACATTTCAGTTTACCTTTTTGAGGTAAATTGCTTCTCTGGAACACATTACTGCAGGACATTTTAAACAATAAGCTTCACCTACTGCTGAAGAGCATCTCTAGTGCAAAGATGAGAGCGCTGCAATCATAAAGCTGCTAAATAATTAAAGGCTGTGCTGTAAGACTAGAGGTAGAAGACCTGCCATTTACCACAGCAATAATTCCAGCAGGAGTCATAAGCGCTTTCGACGAGCAGTAAAGGACAGAACAGAACAGGCTGGCGACTGCTAATCACAGAGAATTATTTTCCCACTTACCAGGTCCAACTGGCATCATTCCTGGCGGGGGTGGGCCCATCATTGGCATCATTGGTGGTCCACCCATGTGGGGAGCCGGCATCATGCCAGGCCGCGGGGGGCCAGCTGGACACACACAGATCAGTTAGGTGCTCTCCTCAGCAATGTGCCATTTCAAACAGTTATTAACCTTCACAGGAAACGTCAGCAATTCCAGTAACTTTCATTCTTTTACAACTGCCTGCCTTCGTTTTCAGTTTCAGCTTTGACTTCAGGTGCCACATAGAGAAGCAAAGAATAGCCCAGCTATTATTTCCAACTTTGCATATTTAATGCAAGTAACTGCCACAGTGAGGCTCTGCACAAAGGGATCTCAAACGTTTGCCAGTCATAGGGCAAAACAAGGTTATCAATCTTACGTTATTATAGAAAAACCCCACTGTGCTGGAAGTTTTCACGAGGTTTCACAGCAGCTATCAAGTAATGAGGGAGCACACGATTCTCTTGGTGTGCTCAGCATTACTAAGGCACAACCTGAAGATCTTGCAGTGCATTCCCTTACGTTCCAATATTCACGAGCTCAACGCTTCCTTGCTCGATCCCAAGCTAAGAGGACTTTTCTTGGCAAGTCCAGGAAACCCAGAACGCTGCTAAAGAGGTCTGCCATTACAGCCCAAAAGCAGGGACTTACGGATGCTGGGAGGCGGTGGGATCATGGCTCCTCCAGGAGGTGGTGCTGAGAATGGGGTCGGTGGAATTTTCCCTTGCTGAAATGCAGCCGCTACATTGGGGGGGAAAAAAAAAAGAAAAAAAAAGAGAAAGAATCCCAGAAGAAAACACAGTTACTAAGCAGAGGAAGCTCCTGCCTCAACGCTCCTTCCCACGGCCAGCACTCAGAACATACTTAGCGTCGTGGTGCAACTCATTTGTTCTTACTCTGGAACAAATCCCTGGTTTACACTGCTTGTCAAGATGGAAGCACCTGATATTCCTGAAGACAGTTATTACAGTAATTACTCCAGCTGAGACTAGAGAGCTCCGTGATGAATTTCACACACCTACTGTAGTAGATAGCAGAGAAAATATGTCACATGATTTGCAGCTGTAACTTTTCACCTAGGATCATTAGATTAATCCATGTTATCTTGAGAAAAGGCAGGTGACAAAAAGCACGGAAAATAGCTAGTGTGAAAGGGAAAAGAAGAAACTCAAGAGACTGGAGTTGATCAAAAAGAAGGCCAAAGATGCGACAGCTGGAAGCATCTAAAGAAGAAAGTTGCCATTAAGGTGAATTTGGCACTTCTATTTATGCCATTCAGACTGAAAAGAATTTGTATTAGGGAGACAGCTTAGAGAAGAAGAATCCCCAACACTGACAAAGGAAACTTTATTGAAGCCTACAGCAGTGAGGGAGGAAAACAAAAACAACCAAGGACACTTTCACTATCAAAAAAAACTTGACCCTAAGTGTGTTAGTTTACAGCTCAGCAGCCTGAGATAGAAAGTCTAAATCCCTGACCACAGGCATAGCTGTGTGCTATGGCAGCTCGTACATTATGAGCAGTGCTAAAGGTGGGTGTAACCACAACCACCTCAGCAACACTAAAACTTTAACTGCTGCAGGGCCCATCGCACAGGGCTCCATCTGTCATGCAAAGATCACGCTGGGATGAGTTCAGATTCTAAGTCACATTTTCATTTGTGTTTCACAGAATAAGCAGGGAAGTTATGTTGAATCAGCACAGAAAAAAAGGAAGGAAAGCACTTAAAGACAGAAGCAAAAGCAAAGCACACCAAGATCACAAAAGGATTCGTCTTACTTGTTTTATCAATCAGGCTCTGAGCTTGTTCCTCCATCCATTTCTGATAGTAGTCTTTCACATTTTCTTTGTGCTTTCGGCCACTGCAGTGAGTTTTTCTCACGGAGGGCTGAGAAAGATCACATAAACCTAAAGCTCACAAAACACCACGTAACACCACAATTTCTAGGAACTTTGATACAGCTATCTCCTTTGCAAGCACAGAACAGATTGGTTTTTGTATGCAGGGAGAGGAAAGGTGCCGCACAACCCTTATATATAACTACCTTATATATAACTTATATATAACTACCACGATTAAGACTCAAGTTTGAGCACAAAGCATGCTAATGCTAAGCCAGCTGCCTCCTACTAATATAAGAGTTGTTGAGTATTTCTAGCACACCTATTCCTCCTCTTTCTTTCTTTCTGCTATGACAAGCAAGCACAACACCTCAGCATTTCAAATAACTTGCTTTTACTCCGTGCAAGTTTCACTTTGGTACAGTCAGAACCAAAGATGAAGGCTCGGTACTCACCGAATCATGGGTGAGGTACGTGTCACAATAGTCACAGTAAAACCTGGCGGGGAAAAAGGACCCGTTAGCGACGGCACCTCACGCTGTGGCTGTTACAGCACAGCCCTCCACAGCCGCAGCACAGCGGCTCTCAGCGCTCTGCACCACCGGGACCCACCCTCCATCTTCCCACGCTGCCAGAGAGCGGAACCAACGCGAGCCCGGAACCCCCCCGCTGCCGAACCAGGCGGCTTCGAGCCCTAACAGACCCCAGAAGCCCGCAGTCCCTCCCGAGGCCATCCCGCCTTCCTGCCCGGGGCCGCGCTCACTTGGGCATGGTGCTCCCCGCGCGCCGCCGCCAGGAAGTGACGCAATCAGACGGCGACACGGCAGCTCCTTCCGTCACGTGACCCCGGCGAGCCCGCAGGATGCTCGGCGCGCTCTCGACGGTGGCGCGAGAGGGACAAACGAAGCAGTGCGGCTGCTTTGCGTTTCCTCAGCGCTCGGTGCAGCGGGCTCCCCGGCTCTGCCCGTATCCACATCTGTGCTTGAATCACTTAACCGCAGGATCATGAAATGACCCGAGCTGGGAAGGACCGTAGGGTCCAACCCCATCTCAACGCAGCACTACCCAAACCCAAACTCAATGGCTGAGAGCAGCGTCCCAATACCCCTTGAGCTCTGGCAACTTGGGGCTGTGTCCACAGCCCTGGGAGCCGTGCCAGTACCACGAGTGAGGTTACCAGGCAGTGGTGCGGTCCTGGCACTGTGCCTAGAGAAGCTGTGAGTGCCCCATCCCTGGGGTTGCTAAAGACCAAGCTGGATGCAGCTCTGGGTATCTGGTGGGAAGCACTCAGACCATGGCAGGGGAGTTGGGGCTGAATGGTATTTAAACTCCTTTCCATCACAGAGCCATCTGTGATTTAAGGCCCCTTTTTCCAGCAGCCATCACAGAGCCTTCAATCACAGAGCCGTTCTATGATCCTGTGGTTGAACCCAGGGCTTTCCAGACACCATGGAGGTAGGCAGGTGCTTGGAATGGCCACGTGGACACAGCCCTGCCACCGCAGTCTGTATCAGCATCACAGATCACAAGATCCAGCATACAACACAGGTGGTGACAGCACAACCCTGCTTGCTGGGGCTGCAGGGACAGGGGCAGCACTACTTACTAAGTCTTACAGCAAAGAATGAGCACCGCAAGACGATATGCTCTATTTATTTTGCTTGTAATCCCACTGTTTGTTTTTTTGTGCAGTCTCCACACTGACCCTCACCCCCCTGTACAGCCGCTACTCATTTCTACCCACGCACCCCAACACAAGGGTGGCACTGTCAGAACAAAGCCACCCTGCACAGTACTACAAAGCCCTCAGCTGGGCCTGTGTTTAGAATGCATTTTGTAGCTTAGCATGCTTATGTTAAAGCCCAGCATGCCTTAAACAGAGTCAGAAATGAAGGCATAACGGCCTGTGCTCGCCCTGTCAGTGCTGAAGGGTGGTCAGGTCCTGTGTTTGAGACATCACTTAGGTTTCCCACGTGAGACGCTGAGGTCAGGGCTCAGTGCGCGGAACTGCCACCATAAAATGGGAAACTTTAGCAAAAAGCGACACTTTGAGGGGAATTCAGGCAAAAAACAGCATTTTGAGGAAAATTCCAGGCCCGAAGGCGCACAGCCGCCCCGCCGTCCCAGCAGCCCTTGCGCCGCCCCACAGCTCCCGGTGACGTCACACGGCCCCGTCCGCACGTGACTGATTTGCATACATAAACACGCGGCTCGCCTCCCGCGTCGCCTCCATATATGGGAACGTGCGGCTGGGGGGGTTATGCAAATCGCCTTCCTTTCCACCGCTCTCATTGGCTGCGCTGCGCCCTCGCGTCACGCCAGGCGTACGCCACGCTCTCATTTGCATCCACTCCCCGCTCGCCCTTGCGGTTCCCTTTCCGCAACAGAACAGTGCCGTGCAGAGCGCGGGGAAACGCCGGCGCGGTGACGTCACAAGCGCGTGCGCCGGGGCGGAGCGGCGCATGCGCAGTGCCGTTAGCGCCTGGCGTCGCCCGCGCCCCCTCCCCCCCGCCCCCCGCCGTGCCCGCGCTCCCCCCTCGCCCCCATGCGGCGCTGAGGCGGCGGCGGCGGCGGCAGCGGGGCGACCCCGGGGCGGCGGGGCGCGCTTCGCCATGGAGGGCATGGACGTGGATTTGGACGCGGAGCTGATGCAGAAGTTCAGCTGTTTGGGTACTACCGACAAGGACGTGCTGATCGGCGAGTTCCAGAGGCTCCTCGGTTTCCAGCTTAGCCCGGCCGGCTGCGCTTTCTTCCTCGACATGACCAACTGGTGAGGGGCCGGGGGGCGGCTGGGGGTCGACGGCTTGAGGAGGCCTCGGCCCCGGGTTGGAGTTGAGGGGGGTAGGGAGAGGCCTCGGCAGCGGCGCGGGCTGCAGGCCCCGCCGTGGGAAGGCGGCGGGCCGGGCTGCTGCCGGCGAGGGGGGAGAAGGGCTGTTAACGGAGATTAGCGGGGGGGGATTTGGGGCTGGGGAGGCCTTAAAGGGGCATTTCTGGGCGAGGCTGCGTGGGGCCGGGTCGTTAAAGAGGGAAGAAGGCTGAGCGGAGGGGTTGTGAAGCTCCCTTGGTCTCTCTGCTCGCACACGGGGCTAGCCGAGCCTTTTCCTTGTTGTTTTTCTTGATTTTGTGAAGGCTCTTTGTGGAAAGCAGAAGTGCAGGTAATGGGGGAGGCTGCATCTGGGGGGAAAATGTGAGAAAACGGAAAGCGAGGAGTGAGAGTGGCGTGGGGAAACCCGGCGGCTGTAAGAGCGCGGTGGGGCTGCTGCCGTCCGACGTGTGGGGTTTCCTCGTTATTGCTGCTTGCACCTTTAAACCCACCGCTGATAGCAGTCCGGTGAGTTGGCTCACATCTGGGTTAGTGCCCTTCTTGTTGTTTACATCCCGTCCCCGCAAAGGATGCGGGGAGGTGAAGCGCCCTGTGTTTCAGAAATTATTAACAGCAGATACTGAGGCAGACTCTGCTTTACCCATTAACAGCATAAAATGAACTCCAGAAACTTCCAGTTTGGAACTGGGAGTCTGAGTTGAAAGCCTGGAGAGCAACAGTTGAGAACAAAACGAAACTTGCGTGGAGTTGCTGAACTAATAAACAGAAATATGGCGAAGCAGTCAACTTTGTCTTTTCACTTCTTTCTATTTTCCTACAGCCCTATAGTAAATACTGCAAATCTGCTTCTGCAGAAGGAGTAGGGGAATAACAAATAATACAATTACAAGCTGATGTGATGTAAAATAAGGCCTCTGCTCTTGAGGAGTTCAGGAGTTTGCTTTGGAGAAGTGGTGCAGGCAGGAAATGCTTTCCTGCCTCATTCATGTGGTCTTGATAACATGAGTAACGCTACCTGTGCTACATGTGACACTGTGGCACTGCTGTTGTGGTGTGGGTTTTTTGTTGTTTTTGCTGTTCTGTGATGTTCCTGGGGAGAGGAAACTCCAGCAGAAGCTGGAAAGTGACTGGTGGGGTTACTGTGTATAACCCCGGTGTTCCTGGTTTGTGCTGAAGTGCTGCTTTCTTTTGTAGGAGTGAAGTAACAGTAGCTTCTGTACAACCCCTTGAGCCCCTTTGCTAAACGTGACATATTTGATTACAGTTGAAGAATCATGGAATCACCCTGGTTAGAAAAGGCCTCCAAGATCACTTTGTCCAACCAACCACTGAACCCCGTCCCTCAGTCCCATGTCTCAACGTTTCTTGAGCACCTCCAGGGATGGTCTTCAGTGATCAAAATGGCTTGGCTTTCACGACTCGGGCAGCAAAAAATTTGATAGCGTGATTTTTTTAATTAGGATAAGTTAATTAGCCCTGTTGGCTGGGGGTGTGCGTGCGTAAAAAAAAGAACTCTTTTAACTTGGTGTAACGCATCCAGCAGTACGGGAGGATCAGCTGGGGCTCTTGCAGTGGGCTTGCAGCCTGTGAGGTGTAGCCTTTCAGCAGCCCAGGCTCGGGCCAGCCGTGCTGACAGGTGCTGCTGGTTCTCCTCGGGTGTCTGTGCCAGGATGCTGCTTCCCTGAGCTATGGGTGCTGTACAGCTTCTGTCCCATTCCCAGCTCCCACCTCGCTGCAGTGTCGGCCTGAATGTGCCAATCCTGTTCTCTGCTGTTGCAAAAAGCTTCAACCAAGCCACATTTCCCCTTTCTGGATGCACCTTTCCTTTGTTATGTCGAAGGACTGCATGGAAGTCAGTGCTGTAATCCACTCTACTCCAGGTGATGTTGGGCAGTGGCACAACAGGAGATTTCTTGGTGTAGGATGAGGGTCTGAATCTTTTACCACCATTCTGTCCTGCAAATAATTCCTCTCAGTGACACCATCAAATCATTTTATTTATTTATTTTTTTTTGCTAAAGCTGCAGCACTGCAGTGATATTTCCTCGTTCTCTGTGTCAGAATTAATGCTGGTGTGCAGGAAATGGTGAGGAGGTCACAGCAGGGCTTCGGGCACTTGTTTGGTGCCTGAGCTCTCCTTAGATATGTTCATAGAGACTAATTGGACAAAAACTTTCTTCGTAAATGTGGCAGCCTGCTCTTTGATAATGATACAGTCAGCAGGCCTGAAGCTACTTCCTTGTTGTAGGCCTTTGAGATGGTGCTGTGTGTAATCTGTAATGTGTTTTGAAATAATATTTCCAGTGTATTCATTAGGAATTGCATTTAACGCTTAAAACAAATGAGCAGTTCTGCTGGGAGGGGTGAGTTATCTGAACACTGCTGTTCTCAGATCTCTCGGGCAAAAGAGTGGTTTGGTGATGGTGAAGAAACACAGAGGAGCCTTTAAAAGTGGGCCCACCTCTCCAGCTCACCTGGAGTCGCTCAATGTGCTCCCCAGGTATTTTCCAGGCTCAGGACAGTGCAAAGAAACTGCCAGCTGATTTCACTGGCGGTGCTGCAGGAATGCTCCAGGTGAACGCATGCGTCTGTAGTTTCTGAGTCTGCTCTTTGATCTTCAAGAAAGACAGGTTAAATGCTTTGAGTTGTCTTTTTCCCTGTTGTTTATTAAACACTTTCCTAGAGCTGCGCCTCTTTGGAATTGCAGCCCGAATTCTGACTGTGGGCTGTTCTGACTGCTTGTGTTTCTGCTAAGGCCCTCTCACAGGTCCTGGTTCTAATAGAGCAGCAAGCACGGGCTGCCTGTTGTCATTTATTTACTGTTCAAAGTCCCGGAGTTTGGGTTAAAGGTTGAACTTTGGCTTTTGGTGTAAAACTAAAAGTGAACTTTTCCAACAGGTGCTTTGGCACCAAAACATTCCTTCTCCAGAAGGAGAACAGAGGCTGAGGGTGTTTTGCTGCCGCTGCATCTGGGATGAAACCCCCCCTGCCTGGCACAGCACGCCCCAACCTGCAGGCACACCGCTGGGCTCAGTGGGATCCCAGCAGAGATGTGCCACAGGCTGCCCAAGGGGGCTGTGGATGCCCCATCCCTGCAGGCACTCAAGGCCAGGCTGGATGTGGCTCTGGGCAGCCTGGGCTGCTGGTTGGCGACCTGCACACAGCAGGGGGTTGGAAGGAGATGAGCACTGTGCTCCTTTTCAACCCAGGCTGTTCTGTGTGTGCCGAGGTGAAGCTGTAGTGCTGACTGCAGCTCCCTGTGCTGTGGCTGGAGCGTGTCTGAGCCTGCACGGCTCGGTGCGTTTCACTCTTCCTACAGCAGAAACTCCTTTTGGGAAGTTATTTTCTTAAAATTCGGGCTTGTTTTATGTCAGTCAGCACTGAATGAATCTGCACTTGAATACCTGCTCAAGGCTTTTAGTGCAGGAGCAGTGCAGGGACTCTGGGTGGCTGGGATCAGGGTGTTTGGAAGTGTTCTTAAATGGCAACCAGCGCTGGTCATCAGCACTAAGGATTGGTGTGAGCGTAGGAGCAGAGGAGGCTTTGCACAGCACGTGTGTATGGTTGTTTTTTTAATTGTCTGCGCTCAGTAAAGAGCCATTTCTTAAAAGACATTGGATTCTTTCCAAGCTGGTATGGGAACTGTATTGTGAAAAGGAAGAGGGGATTTCATTTGTTGGCTGCTATACCAAATTAGAGGGTGAGAGGTTGCCGAGTAAAACTTGGAGCTTCTTCAATTCCCTGGGAAAGTGAATTAATTTGATTTGAAGTATCTGGTGGTGCTGGATTGAACATCCTTTGTGCAGCACACTTGGCTGCGAAGGGGTTCCTAATTTGGAAGGTTTATTTTTGTGTGCACGTTCCAATGATTTACAAGCAGTGTTTGTTTACGCTTCCATTTCTGTTGGGAAAGCTGAGTTCTGTTAGTCTGCTAGGTGTGATGCTGCATTTAATGGTGGAGTGCCACATATTGATGGTTTGCATTAGGCTTAAAAAAAAAAAAAAAGCCCAACATTTTATTGTTGCTGCAAGTCCTCATCTTGTTTGATCTGGCTTCTGGTGGCAAAAGTCTCCATAGGGCCCTCCTCAAGGTGGATCTCTTCTATAGGTCCCCTCTTGTCTTCATCCTGAGAACTTGCAGCTGTAGGCTGGTTTCATCTGCTGACATTTCTGTGCTTTGGTTGATGATACAGAGCTCTAATCTGCATTCTGTTGATTGCAGAGAAAAGGCTGAATATTGACTTCTGACAAAATTAAAATTGCTTTAAATTGTTGTTTCTATCCCCCTGGGTTGGCTGTTGGGATGCTCAGTGTTGAATGAACCACCTGTATTGCTCAGAAGTGGGTGTGCTTGACTGCAGGTCTCAAGGCATGTTTGAGCTGGTGATGGCCTTGTAATTGCTTTTGGTCTGACTTCAGGTGCTTCTGCTTTCTAGCAAAGATGTTAGGAACCTTCGCTCAGGAAACCTCAGATCTGTGCATGGAAGCATGTGTGAACACTTGAGATGGAGTGCTGGGTGTTGTTCAGACCCTCAAAGTACGGCTAGGTGAAACATTGGGGCGAGATTTGACATGAACAATCAATCATCAGAAGCTATTTGCACACAATGCATTTCCCAGTAGCAGCAGCCCCTTGGTACCCACTGCTCCTGGTATCCAGGCTGTGCTTTTTCATTTGGTGAACTCCTGCATTCAGGTTGTTAACAGACTCATCTGCTTTGCTGAGATCTTCAGGCACTTTGCAAGAAGAGCTGGGGTTTGAAAAGCTCCAGCTCAGGTGTGAGCAGGTCACCAGGTGTTGTCCAAAACTCTTCAGCTCCTCCCAGCTTAATGTAGCCAGGTGTTTTTTTTTGTGCTTGCTGTATTTAAAAGACTTGCTGGTACGAAATGCAGTCAGCTTTCATTTGAGCCTCCAAATAGTTATGCTTCCAACATGTATGGGGTGAGGCTGTGTAGGAAGCAATTGTAAGGACGTGTGAAGCCGGGCTGCCCTGAAGCTCGCCAGCACTGCCAGGACACCAGGTGGAATGTGCATCCTTCACTGCATCTGCCCTGCACCAACCAACCTTTGATCACCTGGCTGTTCCAAAGGCCGCTTGTATTGATTGCAGCATGGCTCTCTGTGTGTTTGGTCTCCAGTCCTGGGAACTAATTTGGGTTCGTGCTGCTCTGGGCACCTTTTGGGGAGGTGATGGGGAAAGTCGCCGAGCTTTCCTTCTCTTCTTCCTCTATCAGGTGATTGAGGAGGAAAACAAGAAGTCTCTGTTCCTGAAGTACCTCAGTACTTAGCAAGTGTTTGAAGTTTTAATCCTCTAGTCTGATTAATGCTTGCAGGTGGTGGCCCGCTGAAGGGAATGCAGTGAGAAGTGTGATGCACCTGGCTTAAAAGATCATTTCAAAGAGGAGGAAGGATGGAGGTTTGAACTCCATGGTGTTCTTACTCTGAAGCAACAGATGGACTCTGCTGTCCTCATAGGCACAAAAGACAGAAACAGATCTAACAACTCTTCTCCACAACAGCTCAAACATTTGAGCAAAAACACTTCAAATATAGTGTTTAACTGCAGAATACACTGCAGTGGAGTTGTGCTGTGCACCTAGGGACAGGACTTGGAAAATGGAGTGCATGGGAGATGGAGCTGCAGTCAGACAAGGGTAGCAGAAGGAGTTGGGTGCGATGCAGTGTTCGGCCAGCTGGACTGCTTCACATGCATGAACTTGTTCTCAGGCACTTTCTGGAGCTTAATCCCCCTTTACTGCAGTGCAGACAACGATAGATCG